GACCCCGCCGCCACCACCGTTACAGATGACCCCTCCTGGAGGCTATTATGGGTCTATGTTTGTAGATCCGACTTAGGGTTCATATACTGGATATCTAGCGGATTCAACCTCATCACCCATGGCCGCAACACAGATACCTCCTATACAGTTTTTATACTCAGCGATGTCTGGGTTTTATGAGTTTTCCCAGTTTTCCCAGGCCGGTGGGATAATCAGTCATACACCTCCAGGGTCCTTATTATATGGAGGTGCTTCATCGTCATCAGCTCCTCATCAACCTAATGTACCTGCTCAAGACGACGACGACGATGACAGCGAGGAGTCAGAACCAGTGATACGAAGAAATCCTCCTCGAGACCGATAACCATTGCCCTGCGGAACACATTCGCGACGCATGAATCGATAGATTTTTTTTATTATATTTGTATTTACTTTATTTTGTTAAATTATAATTTTTTATTATTTCTCATTTAATACTTACTTTATTTTTTTAAATTTGTTGGACTTTTTTTTAATGTATTTCAGTTAATTTTGTTTATTACCATTTAATATCAGTTATTGTAATTTGGTTATAATTTACCATTTAATTCTTATTGTAAGTTTGTTGTATTTAAATATCAAATTGTTATTAGTTTGATAAAATTTAATGATTGTGTTCATTTTTTTAATCTTCATCAGCGATTATCGAATGACATTAACTTGAAGTAAATGCAAATTAAAGTACAAGAATTATTATTTGATAAACAAATACATCATTTCCTCATCAATTGTTACTTGATGACAACAGAAGTAGACATGATTTTCTAGTGTGTCCTGGGTTTCTATAATGGCCACATCTTCTGTCTTGTCTGGATCTTTCTCGAATATCCATATCGCAATGAATTCGATTGGATTTTGGACGACCACGCTCCCTCAATAAACTCGGATTTGATACAATCGGAAGCCAATCTTGAACCTCATCAGGGTCTTTGTCATTACTTATGAGGGAAAACTCAAATTCGTATACCTTAAAAACTTCAGATAGTAGGTATACGGGATCCATAAAATGGTTATAGTCTTGACGTGTATACGAGCAAGCTGCTATCACATGAGAGTATGGATACTTCAGAGCTTGAAAAAACCCACAGTCGCACGTTCTGTCCCTTAGATTTACTCTTAACGACACAACTTCAATCCCCTGAAGAGGTCGCGACAACTCTGTGACACGAAACATTTCATGCCTTCTAGAGAAGCTTGTTACAGATATTCCATTTGATACAACAATTTTTTTCTGTAGATCTGTAACTAATCTAGGGTGATAGACATGACCGCCTTGCATCCAGGTTTGAGCTTGTCCCCCAAGCTTCGCAAAAAGTTCCCCCAAACGAAATTATGTAGTTTTTACCAAAGCCGCTACAGGTAAGTGACGTGCACCCTTTAAGGTTGAATTGATTGCCTCAGTCAAGTTAGTCGTCATGTGTCCATATCGATATCCACCATCATATGCGTTCGTCCATATTTCTTTATCGATGAGGCTGATGTAATCGTATACTTCCTTGTTCTTCGCCCGCAAATCTTGAAGCATTGATTCAAACGTTCGAGGAAGTAGTTCGTAACCTGATCAAAAAATGTATAACTTACTAACTTGCTTTCCTTGCAAAATTAAAATGATTAAAAGAAAACAAACTACATCAGTTTCACTTACCCATGCGCACAATTAATTGACGCTCATCATTCTTCTTGTACCTTCCATGATAGTTCGCAGCAATGTGTCAGAGATAATACCTATGTTGGACAAAGGGTGGTTTCCACATTGGGCCCAAAGACTCCATTGCTGCTTTGATCCCAGCTCCGCGATCTGAAATGACACATATGTTTTCCCTCATGATAACATGTGCACGTAAATTTCGGAGGAAAAAAGCCCAAGAATTTGTATCTTCTCCTTCGAAAATAGCAAAAGCAACTGGAAGAATGTTGCGATTACCAAATAAAACTTGCTTGTATTTTCCATACAAGAAAGTCCCGTCGATCTGAACCACAGGCTTGCAGTATTTGGTAGCATTAACGCACTGTGGGTAACTCCAAAAAACCCGGTAGAATTGGCTTCGATCGTGAAGAACTCGATCATTATGGTATGCATAGAAGCTTTCAAAGTCCACAATTGTCCCAGGATTCAACGTCTGCACCAGCCTAAACCAACCTGGAAGTTCGTTTTAAGATGCATCCCATTCGCCATAAAGTTTGACAATGGCATTTTGTTTTGCCAACCAAGTTTTTTTTATAGGAGACAGTGTACCCATACTGCGATTGTATAGCTGAAATCAACACAACAACAACTATATGAGAGCTTGCTTTTACCATGGGCATGATGGCTTGGCATATCATTTCAGAGTCCCAGTTGGGATGATCTTGGTTGACCCCTCCAGCACAATATGTGTGAGGACCGTTGTATACTGTTAGTTCTCATATGTTGTTTTTCCTCTTCATTTTCGATACGCGAACCATCCAGTTGCATCTATTTTCGCGTCGGCCACAATAGCATACATATTTTTCGGTCGTCGATCGATTGACTCTGGACTGAACAGAATTACAGATATTGTAATTTTTTATAGCCATCACCGCTTCTTCTTTGCTTGAAAACTCCATGCCTAAATATAACTCACTATTATTTATTGATGAGTAATATCCATAGTCACCGAGATGAGGCATATCCGCAAATTCTGGCCCGTACATTGCACCATAATTAGCTTCATACATGTGTGCAGGAGGGTCAGTTTGTGCCACATTTCCTGGAACTTCATCATCATCGGAGTTGAATTGCGGTGATTCTGGGTGAATGAATGGTCCAGTCTCAGCACCATCCGCACCAGGCTCACGAAGCGGTTCTTCTGGTGGAGATGATGGTTCCTCCATGCTCTCCACATTTAGGTCGAAGAACCTACTACTTGTACACCTTCCCCCTTGAACTAGAAGGCATATCGACATTGACGTCGAAAAAGCTCACAGTCGAATGCCTCTCCCTAGAGCTTGAAGCCATCGTGTCAAATGGAAACTGCACATATGGTTGCGTCGATGGCATCTCCATATGGTCAAAGAAATTTGCAGATGAATGTCTTCCCCTTAAACTGGACTTGGTGTTGCCATACAGATTGTTCATGGACCCACCTCGGTATATATCGTAAAGAGTTACGGATGAATGTCTCCCCATTATGACATTAAAATCATTACACATTACTGTAGTCGGGCTGTCAACTTGATCAACTTGTTCAACCAGCCCATAGTGGGAGCTTAATGATTGATCCCGAACAGCACGCACTTGAACAAAATGTGCATACATCTCAATAGCGACGTCTGAATAATTACTTTGAGCTTCAACTATCATTTGAATATCATCATTGTTCGAAAGTTCGAACGCTGTATAAGTTAATGGCAACAATGATGTTGGAAATCTGTACCGCAACGACGACATTCTTCTACTACTTCCAACATGAATCTTCCTCGAAATCTTCGTTATCAGCTCCTCAAGAGTTATGTTTCTCTTGAATGATATTTTAACACGCTCATTTGATACGAAAACAACGCCAGTTTCATCTTCTTGAATTTCACTATCATAATAAATAATAGCTGAAAGTCGTGTCATTCTTTGAGTTTAAAAGTGCAGTAATATTATATCTGCAAAAAAAAAAATAACTGAAACAAACCTGATTAAATAAATTATATATGAACGAACACGATAAATTTTTTACACATTAACGTAAATAATTTAAATAATATAATTTTATATTATTACCTGCACTGCAAAACTATTTTGACGTATGCTCCTGCTTTTCAAAAATTAATTGAAAATAATTAGTATAATATTTTTTTAAATAATCATAATAAACAATAAGTATAATAAAAAAAATGTATACCAAAATTTATAACGAAAAATCGCACGAACTTCTAAATCAAATATGAGAAAATTACCAGAATTATTACTCGTTGACGAAATTGTTGTATTAATTTATAAGTTGAGAGGAGAGATGTGAGAAACTTAACCGGGAGTGAAGGGTATTTATAACCATATAAGGTGCGGTACCTGCACCGCGCTATATGTAATTATTCAGATAAAAGGTGTAGCACGGACCAGGGTCCGCACTAAATATAAATTCGTACCAAGGTATAGCGCTGAGCAGGGGTGGCGCTATACCCCTACGTGGCGTATAGCACGGAACAGGGGGCGCGCTATACCCACGTGTAAGCCATGTCAGCGTATAGCGCGATACAGGGGGTGTTATACCCCACGTGGCGCCAAATCAGCATATAGCATGGGACAGAGAGCGCGCTTTACTGCTACGGGTGTTAGATCGGGAAATATAATATGACCGGTATTAGATCGATAAATATACCGGTCACCGGTGATTTTTCGGGAAAAACGCCCTCTAAATAATCAGTTGAACCAGTACCCTACAAATTCAATGGGCTTGGAATTAGATATTTTATTTTAGAGGTCAATTATCAAACATATTTTTAATTTTAACTTTAATTAGCAGTTAATAAATTTTTTAAAATTTGATTATCAATTAAAATTAGTTAATTATCTGAATTAACTGAAATATTCAATATTCAATATACTATATATTACATATATATTTTAAGTTAAAACCGATCAATAGTTAAGATCAAACTATTTTTTAACCATATTGAATCAATTAAAATTTTAATATTTAATCCAGATTAAACCCAAATGAAAAAATACATATATTAAACAAAAAATAATCTAATTAAATTTCTATATAAAACTTCTAGTTACTAATTAAAAGATTCAATTCGATTAACAATTAAAGAAAAAAAATCAAATAATTATATTTTGACTAATTTAATTCAATCGATAACCAAATTAGCTCTTTAAAACTTTAAATTTTAGAGGTCATGATGTCACCTATCTTCATTGAGTTCCGCATTGCAACTGCCCTTATCCTCTACTACTCTATAAATAGATCCATGCAAGCTGTAAGTGAAGCACCAAATCTTCTCTTCAATTTTCTATCAACCTAAAGAGCTTTGCTAATTTTTCTCATTTACTACAATTTCCATAGCAATGGCATGCAACGGGAAGCTTGAAGTGGAGGTTGAGCTTAAGTCTCCTGCAGAAAAAGTCTGGGATACCCTAATGAACTCGACCACAATTTTCCCTCAAGCCTTGCCCCATGACTACAAGAGCATCCAAGTGCTCGAGGGCGACGGCAAGTCCCCCGGAACGATCCGTCTCTTCACTTACAAGGAAGGTAATATCCATTCGAACTTGCACCGATACCAATAAAACTAATATTCAGTAAGTAAACATGTTAAGAACTTCGTAGTACTAAAAGAAAGTAAATATTGTTTTTTTTTGTAGGGTGTTCCCTGGTTAAGGTGTCGAAGGAGAAGATCGAATTGGTGGACGAAGCGGAGAAGATATATGTTTACAGCATCTTTGAAGGGGATCTGATGAAATACTACAAGAGTGTCGTAGCCAAGATCGTGGTTGTTCCGAAAGGACAGTCGAGCTTGATTAAATGGTCTTGCGAATTCGAGAAGGTAAGTGAAGATATCCCTGACCCCAACACCCTCAAGGAATTTGCTGTCAAGAACTTTTTGGAGATCGATGAGTATCTTCAAACCAAGGCATAGAGGCCAGGCCAGCTTTAATAAGCCGACCATGTACGTTTTATTAACGTGCAGGGTTCCCACTCCTGAATATTAGCTTATAATATGGTATAATTCGATATATATATGTATGGTCTGTTATTGAAGGAGTTCTAATGCTACTGTACTGTGATAGATTCTATCGATAATAAAAATTAGTAGTTTTTTATATTCAGTATTAGTAGATTCTTCAACTTTAATTTCTTGATATTAAGAGTAGAATAAAGTACACAAATGGTCTCCCGACTATAAGATACTGTGTTATTAAGTCTCACGACTATTAAAAGTTATAAAATGGTCATATGCCTATTCATTATGTTCCAAGCTCGTCCCTTTTCGTTAAAAAAATTAACGTTATTGTGAGTTAAACGTTAACACGCTGACTGTGATATGATAAAATATGATCTCAGAATCTCAAACGACTATCATATCACAGTCATCATGTTAACATTCAACTTAGACAACCACTAATTTTTTAACGAAAAAGGATGAGTTTGGAACATAATAAATATTCAGGTGATCATTTTATAACTTTTAAAAGTCGAGGGACTTAACAAAGTAGTCTTCTATAGTCAAAGGACCATTTTATAACTTTTAATAGTTGAGGGACTTGATAAAGTAGTATCCTATAGTTGGGGACCATTTGTGTACTTTACCCTTAAGAGTCTATTCATCTATTTATAATTTTTTTAATTGGAGACTAATGAATATTTATTGAACTCAAGATTGATGTTATAACTTATAAAAATAATGATGTTAATTAAACAAATTAAAATTATAAAAGAGAAATTAAACGTGAGGATGTGAAATGTCTTAACAAAAATGGATGTGTGACTTTTTTAGCTCAATAGTTTCGAAAGTAATTAAGGGAAAAAGACAAATGTAATGGATAAAATTAAGGGCAAACTACATCATTAGTCATCAACATATCATATCTCTCTTATTTTGGTCATCAAATTAATTTTTTTCCTTGGCAAAAATGCCATTAACATAATTTCTTTATTTTGGTCTTCAATTATTTAAAATTTAACGACAATATTAAAGTGATGTTTATGTGATATATTTTTTGAAAAATTTATATTATTTTTCTCTCTCCTCATCAACAATTTAAATATTTTTAATAATTTTATTTAACCAATATAATGGTAACACACTATACTATTAAAATATTCTTTAATTATATTTAATTAATATAATAGTGAGACGTGATACTATTTTATTGGACAAATAAAATTAAATCAAAATCAAGCTAAAAAATAATTTATATGATGATCAAATCTTGGACCTCTTGCATAAAGGTTTGGGCACCCAATCCCTAAAGTTGTACAAATAGTTTATTTGAGGATGAAATATATGTAAGATTCACTAACGCTATAAATAGATTAAATTTAATTAAAATTTATGAATTCTAAATAAATAACATAAATTCAACTAAAATTTATAACTCATAAATAAATATTTATTGGACTCATAGTGAAACAATTTTTTAGGTTAAAGTTTAGGGTTTAAGATTTAAGGTTTAGAATTTAGGGTTTAACAAATTAAGCCCAACCTTATAGTATAGTTTTTAAGTTTTTTTTTCATTAAAAAAAATTAAAATTTGAACACATCAAATAGCCTCATAGTTAAAGGGAGTATCGTTCTCTTAAATTATGAGTTCGAACAACTGCATATGTAATATTGTGTGTACGATTCCAATAATTAAGAAGAATTTTGAAAAAAACACTATCTTATAAAAAAATTAGTTGACCCTTATTCTCATATGTAATCGGGTAAGGGGAGGTAGGATAGTAGGCTACCCCCAACGTCAGGTTGAGAGCAGCTTCCGTGGGAGACCTCTGAATTATGAATTGCTCACCGTAGAACCCGATCCACGACCACAAGATTAAGAGCCTTGCGTTCTACTAAATAAATTTTTTATTTTTTACACGATTAAACGAAATAACAAAACAAAACATATCTACAAAACTTAAAATGAATCAGCAAGATGCAGATAGATTCAAACAAAACCATATTGACAGAGACATTTAAAACTTGATGACTCTATCCTTCAGTATCCAGCAACGACCTGCATATCATACGTAGCATATACATACATGCAACCCAAGGAGCTTATAGAAAACCATACATTTTCAAAACAAGGGTCCCTTGCCAATAGCTTTCCTTTCAACAATTGTTATGGTGCTCTAAGACCTGTGCTTCTTCCTTCTCCAACAGCAGAGGCTTCTCCATGTCCACTTCTTCACGGCGCTGCTCTTCTTCTTTAATTTGTCCCCACATCATCGTGTAATATCCCGCTCCAATTATCAATGTTCCCATCACGCTGTAACAAAGTTTCTTATTAATTAAATCATCGAACTTTTTATCACTCGATCGAACAAACGATAATAATAACAAAGGTTGCAGACTAATTACCTTCCATAGTGAAGACTGTTCGTACAGAAGGTAACACCAAAAGCTGTGGCAAAGACTATACCAAATGGCTTGAACATGGGCACGTAGAAAGGACCTTTCATTCGTGTACATGCTAAATGAACGTTGCTACGGATAATGCTCCCAAAGACTCCCTACAAAAACAATTTAGTATCATTTAATCCATCGTTAAAGGAAATTTACTTAGCAGAATTTCAGGTTTTCCTGTCTCCATACAGTCGAAATAACGAGTAAGAGGTCTTGTTTGTGTTTCAATTTCCAAGTATTTAAGTCTCTCTCCATCAACAAAGAGAAGACCAGACACTGAAGTCCCGACCAAGCTGTAAAACGACGCCACTTTCATCACTTGTGGATATAGTTTAACGGTTCCAGCCTGAATGATGTTCCATATTGAAACGGATAAGGAGGCGGCGGCTAGGAGAACACCGCCGAGAACCCAACGATCCGGCGCCGAGTAGAACACAAAAAATGTGGGTTCTTGTTGAAGTTGATGGTAGTTGCCTTGGAAGAAGGATTTTCGTATAAATGGGCCTTTGTATAGTTCTACTGCAATGGCTCCGATAACGGAGACCAAGGTGCCAATCACTTGGGCTTGGCTGCTGGTGCTACTCCAATCGGCCTTTGTTGTCCTATATGATAATGAAAACGTCAGCCAACTTTTGGAAACTGTTTACTTATAAGTTATTAATTAAGTATAAGGTTAAAATTAATCTCAATATTCAGTTGGATGATTATTTTAGTCTTTATTTTTTAGAGTTTTTTAATCTTAAATTTTTAGTTAAAATGGTTTGTGTTCAATACACGTTGACGTTACACCTTCACATATATTTAATTGTTAATGCCTTACTTATCACCTAATGGATGATAATCTTAAGTAATATGTTACATGTCATATTATCATATTTTGAGATGTGAAACATATCACATCATCATTTTTGATGACTGTCGTATGTTGGTATATACCACATCATCATCTTAAGTAATATGATGCATGTTAGGTTATCAATTTAAATGGTATAATACATAAAATGTCAGTATTTTAGTACATATAAAAATAACAATTAAGATACTGAAATGTTAAGGACTAAAATATTAAATAAGAAAATATAAGGATTAGAACAAACATCCAAAGTGAGCTAATTTTAACAAAATAACTATTAATTATTATCATTCCCATGAATCATGCATGTGGTGTTGTTGTCATAATCAAGAACTTTCCTTCTTTTTTTTCTTAACTGAAAGAGAACGCCAAGGAAAATATGACTTTGGGAAGAACGAAAATCATTATCAAATAGCTATGTATTGATTAATCGATCGAATATCTATATTTATTAACAAAAAAGTTGAGAGAACCAACCCTGTTAAACCTAGTAAAAATATACGCACGAGGAGTGGGAAGGTGAAGAGCGATTGGTCTGTTCTGCAAATAACAAAGAAACAAAGATAAAGAAATGGAAGAGTACACAAGATAGAGGAGATTGCAGCATTTGAAGGCACCTTTCCGGATGAAAAACCAAGGAGAAAGGGAGTAACAATAGAGATCCAACAGCATTAGTGTAAACCACGAACACGAAAGGGCTCATTCCTGCTGTTATGGCTGTTTTGGCCAAAACAGTGAGTGCTATGGTACAAGCTTCTACCATCACCATCGCCGTAAACGGTGCCATTTCGCTAGCTCTTTCTCTCATCATCAGCACCATCTCCCCTCGGTTCCGCCGATGAATGGCGACGACAAAAGAAGAAGAGAATCCCAGTTTTGGCTGCGTGCTGGCGTGCAATGTGGGGGCAATTATGAAAAAAAGATAAGAGAAATAAAGCTTAATTTGTTTTGTGAGAAGACAGCTAGTTGGATTAGCCTTTCAAGTGTGGGTGAAGGTACTTGGGGAGTGAAAAAGCGACTCGGGTGACTGACTCTAGCTCCAAGTAGAGGGGGAGATGTTGACGTAGTATTCATAATTTCATATATTGAGGTTTAACAGCCATAATCAAAATGGTATTTGATTTTATGGGGTTGATTGGGATGAAGCTTTGTGGTGGACATTGATCAAGGCCCTACCTTTAAAGCATGATAATAAGCATCAATGGTCCACTCTACCAAATTTGATTAATTTAAACAAAAAAACAGTCCTTTAAGTAAGACCACCAACAGCATTTTGTACTTGAGATTCATTTCCTTTGTAGTTCCTATTTTGCTTCCCCAAAATCTTCATCTGGGAAGTTGTTTGAACATCAGGTTTTAAGCATCAGTTGAAGAAACATGTGCTTTAAGCCTTAACCAGGCCAACTTATTAAGGTAAACAGAAACTACATGGCTACAAAAAACAGGCACCTTATAAATAATCATAATATTCCTAGCTATATAAAATTTATTATTTTTAATTAAATCTTTATTCTATACTAGGTCGGGCCGGATTGGATTTATACTCTAAAATTTGGTCGGATCGAAGTCGGGTGGAAGAAATATATTTTTTCGAGTCAGATCGGATGAAAGAAATAAAAAAATTTAATCTAATCGACTTCGATTGAAAAATACATATTTTCGGATTGGATCGAGTTATCAAAAATGCCACCCGTTATCATCTCTAGCTATAACAG